GTTTGATGGAGCTGGATGGATGGGGTGCACGATAAGTCGACAATAAAGTGAAGCCGAGGGGTTCGCGTGCGAGGAATTAGAATCTATTGGCCGGAATTTGCCGGTGGAGGGTTGAGATTGCAGGAAGCTGAGGTTTAAGAAGCGAATCAGGGTTTTTTGGAAGGCGAGGTTGAAAAATAGTTCTATGTTGTTTTATAAACAATTGAGTTAGCTATGATTTTGTTGTGTGACTTGTGTCTCGTTTCTGGTTTTAGGTTGAAAGAAATTTTCTCTCCTTGTCTTTGTTTTCACAAGTGAAGCAAATAATGGATGCTCAAGCGAGGAAGAAGGCACTGTTTCGTGCTAAATTGAATGCGCAGAAGAAGGAGAAGCGCATAGATTCTCCTCTCGTGAGGTAAATCATTTCACACGTATGATATTTTCTAACAAATATGTTATAATTGTTGCTTTTGTCTTTGCAAGTCATTTCTAAAACATAGGTGTTTATGGGTATACTCTCCTTGATAAGCTTCTGAGAAAATCATTTTTTTCCTTATGCTAACTAATAAAAACTGTATTCAGATACAATGAGTTTGATCAACCTGTTTGTCGGGTTTGCGATGTTGTTCTGAAGTCTGAAGCTAGCTGGGATGCCCACCAGGTTTCTCGTAAACATCATGAGGTAATGATGCATTTACTTTTATGGTGCTGACTATATGTCCTTTTTTCTTTCGAAGTAACCACAAGCAGACAACAAACTAGAATATTAAATTACTTATGGTTATATTATGGAACAAGTGTTTGAGAACACAAGGGAGTTGGATAGGTTCATGGTCAACTGGTGAAAAGAAAAAATACAGCTTCTGCTGAATGACTTGATTATGTCCTTGCTATATGGAGTTTCTTATTTTTAGAACTATCTTCTACCTTCTGATATGAATCATCATATGAAATATTGGGAATGCTTTATAATCTCAGTTGGAGAGTTGGAATAACTAGGCTAAGTTTTTGTTCCAACTAGTTCAATTTTTTTCTATTGGCAATGTCAAATGATAAATATATACATTAAGCTCACCTGTTGCATTTTTTAATTGAAATACCCATCAGACTTAGGCAAACATCATCTTTCCTAATTAACTAACTGATATTTCAATGTCGCAATCATCAGCTCTCGATTTCCTCAATGACATCTCCGGGAATTTTAAAGAGAGAAAAAGATAGGAAAGTGGAATTCTGGACAAGCAAGAATGGATAGAAGACTGATCCTACCACCAAGGAGAAGAGAATATTCGTCCAACAAATTAGACGTTTAGAGACTCTACTCACAATTGGATCCCGGAAGGATGCAACCCTAGGATAAGATTACCCCTTAGAAGCACCAAGATAATATAAGGCCACTCTGAGACGTCACAACCAACAGATTCAACCAGATCCTAACATTCTGCTGCATTTTTTATTTTTGTGCTATTATT